AAGGAACTCAGAGCGGACGAAGCCACAGTGGAGGCTGTAGGCTTTGCTTTGAGCAGCCGGTCTGGAGCGCAGCGGGGCGGAGCGCTGACGGAGTATGAGGGATTTCGGGGTTAGCCTGACATGTTGGTCGTGTTGCTGTTAGCATAAACAAAACGTGTTGCACAATGCTTGCACACTGTTGCACTTTTATCCACAGCTTTCTTTCCGCCGTCATCGTAGGTCACTCTAAATGCAAAGTGGTCCCATACAGCAGACCTATAAAGTGCTGCTGGCGCGTCTTCCAACTCCTGTTCTTTCCCACTCGCCATACCCACACAATTCTCCACAACAATTGATTGTTTTCTGCTACACCCGGCTACGCTGCTTCGCTTCGTCTTCTTCTTCTTGTTTACTACTGGTGGTTGGCTTTGGTCGCAGTACCGCCACCTTCTGCTCTGGAGTGTAAACGCTTCGCCTATGAGAAAAAGGAGCCGCGCATGAACCGAACGAAACACACGCGAACCGAACTGAGACAGTCGAACCGAACGGTTCGGACGGTTTTTATAAACCGTTCCATCCCTAATACATATATATATATATATATATATATATATATATATATATATATATATATATATATATATATATATATATATATGTATGTATATATATACTAGTGCTGTCAAAATTATCGCGTTATTATCGCGTTAACGCAAGGCCATTTTAACGGCGATAATTTTTTTAACGTGAGATTAACGCTATGTGGTTTTATGGTACAATTTTCCAAGTACATCCCGCTGCAGCCTGCGGGAAGGCGGGGCTATTTTCCCCCAGTCTATGCATTTCTCATAGGCTTCTAGAGCGGAGCTCCTCAAAGGAAAAAGACGCTCATACACTCGGTAGCGCTAGTGCCTTTTCTTTAAGCCCCACCACCAACAAACAAGTTGAGTGTCTGGTAACTAGTAGCAACCTGAAATACGCTGAGAAAACAGATTACTGAGGTGAAATGGAATCTGCTACGGCACTCTTGCTGTCTGTGTACGCCACAGGTCGGTATCGCTTGTGTGTGTGTGTGTGTGGGTGTGTCTGTGTGTGTGTGGGTGGGTGGGTGTGTGTGTGTTCTCATTTTTGTTAAGAGTCTGAAAAGTAACTTTCTAGAGCATAGACTACCTCCATCTAGTGATGTCGGTCTATTGATTTTGATGTATTGATTGAAAATTGTTCATTATTATCTTGGTTAATTAACCTCTAATGTTAACTGTACTACATTTTGTAGCAGTAGGGTAAAATGCTTGTCTTTGTTCAAAAGACTGTATTAACTGTAAAGACTGTCTTTTACATCAGTCTGTTTTCAGGGCCTTTTTTTTGGCTACATATTTGTTATTTTTTGCTACATGCCTCCCCATCTTCTTGCCATATGTTTCTATGGCATAAATCAGTATCTGTGACCTGTTTTCATTTAAAAAAAAGAACATTGGCACAAACCTAGCCTGTATGTATTTTTTGTATGTCATCGAGAGTATTAAAAAGATTTTCAATCAGAAAAAAAATTTACAATTAAAATGCGATTAATCGCGAGTTAACTCAGGCATTGATGCGATTAATCGCGATTAAAAAAATTTAATCGATTGACAGCACTTATATATATATATATATATATATATATATATGTATATATATATATATATATATATATATATATATATATATATACACTCACCGGCCACTTTATTAGGTACCCCATGCTAGTAACGGGTTGGACCCCCTTTTGCCTTCAGAACTGCCTCAATTCTTGGTGGCATAGATTCAACAAGGTGCTGGAAGCATTCCTCAGGGAGTTTGGTCCATATTGACATGATGGCATCACACAGTTGCCGCAGATTTGTCAGCTGCACATCCATGATGCGAATCTCCCGTTCCACCACATCCCAAAGATGCTCTATTGGATTGAGATCTGGTGACTGTGGAGGCCATTTGAGTACAGTGAACTCATTGTCATGTTCAAGAAACCAGTCTGAGATGATTCCAGCTTTATGACATGGCGCATTATCCTGCTGAAAGTAGCCATCAGAAGTTGGGTCCATTGTGGTCATAAAGGGATGGACATGGTCAGCAACAATACTCAGATAGGCTGTGGCTTTGCAACGATGCTCAATTGGTACCAAGGGGCCCAAAGAGTGCCAAGAAAATATTCCCCACACCATGACACCACCACCACCAGCCCGAACCGTTGATACAAGGCAGGATGGATCCATGCTTTCATGTTGTAGACGCCAAATTCTGACCCTACCATCCGAATGTCGCAGCAGAAATCCAGACTCATCAGACCAGGCAACGTTTTTCCAATCTTCTATTGTCCAATTTCCATGAGCTTGTGCAAATTCTAGCCTCAGTTTCCTGTTCTTAGCTGAAAGGAGTGGCACCCGGTGTGGTCTTCTGCTGCTGTAGCCCATCTGCCTCAAAGTTCGACGTACTGTGCGTTCAGAGATGCTCTTCTGCCCACCTTGGTTGTAACGGGTGGTTATTTGAGTCACTGTTGCCCTTCTATCAGCTCCAACCAGTCTGGCCATTCTCCTCTGACCTCTGGCATCAACAAGGCATTTCCGCCCACAGAACTGCCGCTCACTGGATGTTTTTTCTTTTTCGGACCATTCTCTGTAAACCCTAGAGATGGTTGTGCGTCAAAATACCAGAAGATCAGCAGTTTCTGAAATACTCAGACCAGCCCTTCTGGCACCAACAATCATGCCACGTTCAAAGTCACTCAAATCACCTTTCTTCCCCCTACTGATGCTCGGTTTGAACTGCAGGAGATTGTCTTGACCATGTCTACATGCCTAAATGCACTGAGTTACTGCCACGTGATTGGCTGCTTAGAAATTAAGTGTTAACGAGCAGGTGGACAGGTGTACCTAATAAAGTGGCCGGTGAGTGTATATATATATATATATGTATATATATATATATATATATATATATATATATATATATATATATATATATATATATATATATGTATATATATATGTGTATACATGCATACCTGTAAATGAACATATACATACCTACACAAACACATCAGGCCAGATTCCAAATTTAAACCCTTGTACTTTGGCACTTAGAGTACTGCAACCCCACAAAATCCCCAATCATCATTAAGACATCCCAACACCATAGTCCCTCCACCTGCTCCCCCCACGGGTCCCATCAGCGCCCCACAGCAGACGTTTGTGACATTAATAAATGTGATTAGGTTAAGGATCAATGATTAATTACTGTCGGAGGCAGAGATATATCGTTCCTCCTGAAAGAGTCCCTGCTTTATGAAGTAGTTGCATAATGAATACGACACTTTGACTATGGAAGTCTGAGTCTGACCAGTGGATGGAAAAGAATAGATGATTGATGTAGACAAAGCTTTTAGATGGAGAAACCAGACGAGGATTGAGAGGTTCCAGAGGTCAAAGCACCGCCACGAAGAGACACGAACCGGAAGAGGAGAAAAATACCTGTTTTTGTTCTGATGTCCCTGTTTGTGAAGAAAGCAGAAGGAACTGCAAAAGCCTCTTTCCAAATTACAACCTATCACACTTGAAGACTGTAAGTGCACTGTGGAGTGCTTGTCTTTGCTCTTGACATATAATGGCATACCCACTGAACTGTCAGACAACAGATTACTTTCAGGGTCACTTTTTAAACATTGCTACATTTTAGACAAAGGAATTGGTATCCATCACTCCAAAGTCACGACATTTTGGTGAAATATCATTTGGGAGAATAGAGATAGAATGAAGCAGAATGATGAAAAAGGGGTCCCTATGTCCTCCAGCAGTCTAAGCCTATAGCAGCAGAACTATAGAGATAGCTCAGGATAACCTGAGCCACTCTAACTAGAAGCTTTATCAGAAAGGAAAGTTTTAAGCCTAGCCTTAAAAGTAGACAGGGTGTCTGCCTCACAGACTAAAACAGGTAGTTGGTTCCACAGGAGAGGAGCCTGAGAACTAAAAGATCTGCCTCCCATTCTACTTTTAGAAATTCTAGGAACCACTAGTAAACCTGCAGATTGAGAGCGAAGTGCTCTGTTAGGAACATCAGGAACAATCAGATCTCTGATATCAGATGGAGCTTGGCCATTTAAGGCTTTATATGTGAGAAGGAGGATTTTAAATTCTATTCTGGATTTAACAGGAAGCCAATGAAGAGAAGCCAGGATAGGAGAGATATGATCTCTAGCACTAGTAACCCTTCAAAGCCTTGAGGAAACCATTTGATTTAGAGGAAGCTAAAATAGGTTTTTTTTAATCTACAGAGAAATGCCGACGCTGTATGATTGATGATGAATTAGTTTTGAAACTCTTTGGTAAATTATTGCTTAATTAAAAAGAAAATTCTGATTTTGATTCAAATACAGCCTCATTTAACACCCCTAATGTTGGAGCATCGGCTTTACATTTTGTTTTTGTGTCTTTTTCTTGGTATAAAAATAAAAAAAAGGGTTTCTTTGCAATCTGGAACAGTTTTGAATTTCATTATATTTCACAGGTTCAGATAGAATATAGAAAAATGTCATAAAGAACATAAATCCATATTTTTCTCCCCTTATTCCTGGATCTGCATTTCTTCATCAGTTTGTTTTGTCTGGTACTCTTAAAACTATGTATTGATTTGTTTATTCTTTGTTTGTTTCTTTCACTCCTTCCAATTTGCTAGAAAATGGAAAGAAAGACAATCTCTATAACATCTGCCATCTTTTAAGAGTAAAAGTTAACATTCATCCTGACTAGTATTAACATTTGTGACAACAGCCCTATCAATTCAAACATATATATGTTAATACTGCTGTGCAAGTTTTGATGTTCAATATAATAAAACATTTGATAAGTAATAAATACTTAATTTCCCATTATATTAGAGTAGACTGTATTATATATGCAGGTAAATGTTCTGGAGGTTTTTGTGCTTATTTTCCACAACCCTTTATTTAGATTCCTCTCATCATAACGTGTTTCTCTCCTTCCCAGATCCTGATTCATGTGGGGTTCCTGACAGAGGAATCAGGAGACGTTTTCAGCCCAAAGGTTCTGAAGGGAGGACCTCTGGGGGAAATGGTCCAGTGGGCCGACATCCTGACTGCCCTCCATGTTCTGGGACACAATCTAAAGATCTCCATGTCTGTTAAAGAGCTTCAAGGGTAAGACTGTGTTTGGTTTTTTTATCTGTTTGGTGTTTTTTTTTATTTTATGAAATCTACATCAGTTATGACACAATATGTTTCTGATTATTGAAAAAAAAACTTTCAAATAAAAAAAAAATGTGAAGATCTTAAAAAAAAAGAAGATCTTAAAAAATATTGATGTGTTAATTTGATCGAATTCCCATCAGCGTGACCTCAAAGCTTTTCAGGCTTTTCTTGTTATAAGAGACATAAATGTTCAGTATACTTGTTGATCTACCTGGACCAGCTCGCCCACAGCGTCATTGGGCATGCTGCAGAAAGTCTGCGCTGTCGCCCTTCCTGCGAGTGTTATCCCTCATTTTTAAGCACATTCCATCATGTTTGATTCCTCCGTTTCGCCTCATATTTAGTCAGCTCGGGAATTCCAGGTGGCTCCATGGGAACGTGACAGACAGCGTCCGTCTTCCGTCTGTCAGAAATATGGATCGAGTCCATTTTTGACAGATTACTGCGCAGAGCTCATCAGTGTGTGTCTCTGCTTTGTTTGTTTGTTATATAGAATAAAGAAAGCCGTACAATCAACAACAAAAAAAGCCCTGTTTTAATAATAATATTTTTCCACAGTAAATATATGTAATATATGGTATATATAGTCACCTTATTTCATGGGTTATGATAGGAGTAGTTAGCATATTTTCACCACTAGGTGTGCTGCTGAACACTTTAATACAAGTTTTTGCCAAGCAGTGTCTGCTGGCCAATAGAGGGCGCTAGGCCGCCGCCCTATTATCCCAAAAACCTTGATTCATTTTTTATAGTAGGATTATTATACAGGGTTATTGCACAGGATATTTACATGGGTATTTATAGAGATAGATATTTGTATTCAAAGCTTCTGCACTGGGTGTCAGATATAGAGAAACAGTTTATTGCACAGGGTATTAAATAATAACTGCAGCAGTTGTTCTGGTTGCAGCGTGGCATTGTGGAGTCTGCTTGCAGCAGGGATGGATGAGCTGTGGTAGCGTCTATTTTTATCAACAGGGTGCAAAAGTCAGAGCATTAATATCATCCGAGCGAATGTTGATTCACAGAATCAAAGTCTTCTGCCGGGGCCCGAGCGCCAGAGAGCTTATTTCATTTACGTCAATAAAACTTTTCTAATTGCAGCTTTTCTCTATGTTTTTCTCTCCAGGTTGAAATAGTTTGTTTATGAAAGAATAAAATTGGTCGTAAAAATGCTAATTAATCTTTTGTATTTAGCGTTTTTGTTATCGTACCAACTAGCAAAGGGACCTTTCTTTTGTGATTCAAAAACCCAAAGCATTTAGTAAAATACTCCTGCACCACAACAAGCAAAACCCAAAATTCTTCTTATTTTTTTTTTATAAACTTATAAATATGTTACCTAAATGTTGAGCATAAAAAAGGAACGTCCTGCAAAGATAATCTTGCCATATATAATCCTACTCAGGTTGCTTCCTTTTGCGCAGGCGTTCAGTGATGCTGCCGTTTGAAGGTTATTCCTCTAATATGTTCAAGTCCAATTTATTTTCCTGCATGTTGGCAACATGAGGACACCCAGCAGTGGCTCCTGTCATCCCTGCTGCCGTCTGACGTCGGTTCTGCTGTATAGGAGGCCTTATGTTCTCTCCCTGCTGCTGCACACACTAATTTATGTACATTTTGGTAAAATAAATGAGTTTTTGTTTCCCATCCTCTGGATCCTTTCCCCTCTGCAAAGAGCACACATGCTCATCTGTCGGTGTGTCTGTGGATATCTGATGTTGACCAGTGTACCCGGCTTTTCTGAATACCATTGAGAGTTACTGGTTACACAGAGCAGCTGTAATTGGCCACTGTGGGAATGATTAAGCCCAAAGTTGGGTTTTATATTTCTTGGACAGCGCAGGGATACGGCAGCTAGACAGTAGTGACCATGTTGAACAAACTGTCTATAGAGACATAGAGCTCACAGTAAATTCTATAAGCTGAAATCCTGCACATACTTGCAAATATATTCGTACAATTTTTCACTTTTTTGTTAAAGCCACAAACTAGATTTGAGATTACTTATTAGATAAACCCAAAGAACAGTTGCGCTTCAACTATAGAACAGCAAATTCAATTCAGTTTATTTCTATAGCACCAATTCACAACACGTCATGTCAAGGCACTTTACAGTTCACCAGATCACTCAGACACGAATGCAATCCCTCACACTAAGCATACTTGTAGCGACAGTGGAGAGGAAAAACTCCCTTTGAACAGGAAGAAACCTCCAGCAGAACCAGGCTCAGTGTGAGCGGCCATCTGCTGAGGCCCACTGGGGTTCAAGGAGACAGAAGCAGACATAGAAAAAGAAGCATAGATACAAAAGGCAACTGTCAACCAGCTCCACAGGCGGCCCCGTCCAGGAAACACACAGCCAGGCAGACGAGCTCCGAGCCAGCTCCCATGTCAGAGGATGAAGAGAGCACATCCAGTTAGTCACAGTCAGAGAAACAGGACTACACTGGAAAACAGGCCAAGCTCCAACATCTAGAAACAAAGGTGTTGATGGCAGCAGCACAGCTGATATTTCTCTCCAGGATGGAGTCACAGCCAAACAGGAACAAGCCAGACGTCCCTGTTACTGCACATGTCCACAATAAAGACTAAACATTAAAGCATGGGTCATCGGACAATGAAGCCGGGCCTACACTGTATGGTTTTATGGCCTTTTTGGTCCGATTTTCCATTCGTGGGAGAATTTTGCATGGCGTAGTGTACAGGGGGTAAAATAAATTTTCTCCGTGTTTATTCTGTTAGTTTAGGGCAGGGGTCGGCAACCCAAACTTCAATAGGGGTCCCTATGTCCTCCAGAAGTCTAAGCCTATAGCAGCAAAGAAACTGTCTTCAATGTGAAATCAATAAAGTTCAATTAATTATGCTTCCAAGCATATTATCACAATATTCTGTTCAGTTGTTTCAGTTTTATTGAAATGATCTTTGCCTTTTATATCTATGCTTCTTTTTCTATGTCTGCTTCTGTCTCCTTGAACCCCAGTGGGCCTCAGCAGATGGCCGCTCACACTGAGCCTGGTTCTGCTGGAGGTTTCTTCCTGTTCAAAGGGAGTTTTTCCTCTCCACTGTCGCTACAAGCATGCTTAGTGTGAGGGATTGCTGAAGAGTCAATGAGTCGATGCAATCAGCTGGTTTTCCTTAGATAGAAAACTTTGAATCAATCTGACTGGATGATCTGGTGAACTGGAAAGTGACCTGAGATGATGATGTGAATAGCAGCTATAGAGATAAACTGAATAGAATTGAAATCTTAAACCTTTTTTTTTTAAAAATGATTGTGCAGAATTGCCGGCAGTGGAAATATCTCTGAAAAGACTATAGCTAAAATCCCAATAAAAACGATTGTCTGTTGTGGCTTTGCCATGTTTTCTCAATGATTAGGGAAGACAGCTTCTGTGAAGAAAGGTGACTCCGCATATGCTGGGAAATTGCTGCGATTGAGTCGTCCTGTGAGATCACTTAGGTTGTTCTTTCCTTTGACAAAGCAGAGATAAATGCAGCATCTTATTCGCGGGAGTGAACGTCTGCAGATGGATGGCCTAGCAGGAAAAATATTCCCTGGGAAGCCTATTTGTGTGAAGAAGGAAGAAAATGGTGCAGACGATATGCTGTGTCTGCATATTTGGAGTCACAGAAGGCACTTTCTATGCAGATATGCAAATATTTGTTGTGAAGGTTCACTGATAAATGTCATCCTTTTGTTGTGATTCTTGGACTTTCCTTCCTTTATGCAGAAACCAGAAAACTCACTTCATTCACCGCTATTTTCTTGTCTTCACTCGGTAGCAAACACTTCATTCAACAGAGGGCTTCGTCCCTCATCCTCTCTGCTGAGTGTGCAGTCCTCACAATGGGGGCTCACTCAGTAGCCTGATGGAAATTAGGCTGAATTCGGCATCAGTGAGACAGTTGAGGTGGCTGAGATGTATTAGAGTGAAAGGAAGGAGAGGCATGGGTCTGCCTGCTCATTACAGCCCAGAGGGAGCCGCTCACCCACCGTGGGTTCAGTCATAACAGAGGTGGGCGGGCGGCACCTTTTCTGCCTTTTCCTGTCACTGCTGTAAAATGACATATAGAGGGTTCAGTAATACCAGGAGATGGAGGAACCTGGCACAGGCTAGAAAGTAATTGCCTTTTGCCCTGCATTGCCTGTGGCTCTCACTCAGGTCACACTCATAGTTTGTGTCAAAGAAGTAGCCCTGTAGAGTTCCAGTGTTTTGTTATTACTCTATTATAGAAAAAAGGCAACGTGTGAAGCTTGAAGAACTGAAAATGTACAATAATTTGTGAGAGCATTGTAAGTCTCAGAACATTTAGAGACACCAGGGACCATAGTCAGATGTTTGCCGGGGGCCAGAACGGGCGACATCAAATCCTACCTGAAACTACTGGCTAAGGATAAGGTTAAATACAGTAAGATTGTTATTCATGTTTATTAGACATAAAAACCTGGATGACTCTTAACTTTCTGCTTCTGAATGCAGACAAAACAGAAGTTATAGTCTTTGGACCAGAGTCTCTGAAAAAGAAACTGATTAGCCAGTCACTTCATTTGGATGGGATTAAACTGATTTCAGATAATAAAGTAAAAAATCTTGGTGTTATTTTTGATCAGGACCTGTCATTTAAATCCCAGATCAAAGAGGTTTCTAGAATTTCCTTCTTTCATCTGAGGAACATTGCAAAAATGAGCAATCTCCTGTCCAGGGGTGATGCTGAGAAACTAGTCCATGTATTTGTTACTTCAAGGCTGGACTATTGTAATTCTTTACTATCAGGAAGTCCACAAACTGTAGTTAAAAGCCTTCAGCTGATCCAAAATGCTGCAGCCAGAGTTCTGATGAAAATGAAAAAGAGAGATCATATCTCTCCTATCCTGGCTTCTCTTCATTGGCTTCCTGTTAAATCCAGAATAGAATTTAAAATCCTCCTTCTCACATATAAAGCCT